TATCACTGGGAGGAATTGACCTCCAGGCCAATTGGCTGTGAGAATCAGCTGTGTCTACAGTGGGAGAACGTCTGTGCTGGAGATACCCTTCTGGGGCAAGACTTGCTTCAGTGGGGCTTTGGTGCTCACTGAGTCTGCCCCCTGAGTGTGTCCCTTATGGATCTGAGGAGTTGTAATCTGGATGGTCCCACTCTGACCACTGGGTACACTGGCTCTTGGATCTCTAAGGAGGTGCTAATTTAGCCTCTGCCTGAGGCTACCCAGCAGGAGCCAGGCTGTGAAGCAATGTAAGCTGCTGTGTGGCCTTGGGCCTTCTTTTGGATGTTCTGGCTTTCTCTGACCCAGCTGCAGTTTGTTAGGTAATTTTCAGATTGCAAAGGGCCAGGCCTTTCATATGCAAAAGCCTCTGTGCACAGCTTGGGTGGGGCGTGGCCTCAGGGGATCAACAGGGCGGAGCAAGCAGCTATGGCTGCTCCTCAGTCCTGCCCTAAGAGGTCCCGCTTCTCAGTGTCCCGGTAATCGCTGCAAACACCTCTGAGAGAAAGCCGCCCTCAAGTTCCGACCGATGCCAGACAGTCCAGTTTCTCCCTGTATGAGTCTGGGTCCCCAGAGACTCACCCAGAACTGGAGTTCAGAGCAGTCGGGGGCTTGAGACTCCGCCCCGATTGAAAAAGACAACCGTATCCTCAGTTTCCAGCCCTTTCCACGTGCTCCGCATCCTCAGCTGCCAGCCCTTTCCACGTTCTCCGTGTCCTCAGCTGCCAGCCCTTTCCGCGTGCGCCTGTACCTCTGCACTTTACTTCCGCACCGCCTCTGAGTCTCAGTGTGCTTTTCTATTTCCTTCTATTTGTAGCATTTCCACTCAGCCAGCCTTCAAAAAGTTCTCAGGTGGCAACCACATATATGATCTGGGATATTCAACAAATAGAAAGGCCAACGAAGTTACAGCCATGTTTTCTGAATATATTAGACTGCAACCCAGAGATTACTTTTTTTTTTTTTTAGGCTGTAAAACCATTACATAAGCACACAGGGCTGATATAAAGTTAAAAGTGAATACTAGACTTCATACTAGTGTACTCTGGTATTTCTCGTTCTACACTCTTTCTCAAGGAGAAAAGTGCTGGTCATGACCTTCTAGATTGATTTCAGAATCCAGTAATGGCTTTGGAAGAATTTGGAAACACACACACACACACACACACACACACACACACACACATACACACACACCACTGAGCTGGATAGTAAGTACCAGAGAACATTTTACAAGATTAAATCTGAGCCATACATAAAGGGCCCATTATGCACAGCCTTTTATATCTTTTCAATTTTATTGATTTTTAGCTTTATTATCCCCTGTCTCTTTGTTTTAAGTTTAATTTGCATTTCTTTCTTAGTTTTTTAAGGTGAAAGTGTCCAGATTATCGATTTGAGATATGTTTTCTACTGTATTGTTACGCTATAAATTTTTCTCAAAGCAATGCTTTTGCTGTGTCACACAAATGTTGATATTTTGATATGTTGTGTTTTCATTTTTATTGAATTCAAAACACTTTCTAATTTTTCTTGTGATTTCTTCTTTGACTCAATGGTTCGTTAGATCATATTTATTTTACATGGTTGCCAAATACTAGCCATGCACTGCTTGACAACAGGAATAACGTTCTGAGAATTGTGGACATCATAGAGTGTACTTGCAAAATCCAACCTAGATGGTGTAGCCTATTATTTTTATCGTAGGAGTTATACTTACAATATAGCTCTTTTTGACAGCGCAGTAGGTTTGTTTACACCAGCATCATCACAAACACATGAATACTGTGTTGTGCTATAACATCCTGACAGCTATCACAGGATTTTCTAGGTGACAGCAATTTTTCAGCCCCATTATAATCTTATGAGACTATCATCATATATGTAGCCCATCACTGACTGAAATGTCATTATGAGATATATGACTGAATTTGGAGATTTTAAAAATTATCTCTGTTTTGATTCTAGATTTATTTCATTATGACCAGAGAATGTACTCTGTTTCAATTATGTTAAACTTTAAAAAATTATGTTATTTCCCAGAATATGGTCTACCTTATAGAACATTCCATACCCACTAGTAAAGAGTAAGTATTTCGTTGATATTCAGTGGTCCCTTTCCTACAAAAGTCAAATCCCCTTCATTGTCTCCCATTTTTGGCTACTCTCTAGTGCCTTAAACATTGTTTTCCCAACTCTGTGTGTACAGAGTTTATCATTAGTATCACTAAGAGTTAGCCTTTTATAATTTACTCTGCCACTACCTATTGCTATATCTCTCTGATGATTTAATATAAAAAAGTCTTAATTTTAAGCCATTGTGTGTTACTTTTTGTTTTTTCAAGCACAAAAAAAATCCTAAGTTATACATTTACATAGTAGTTCACATTATATAAACTGGAATGCCAAGAGCATGTTGAGGGTGGGGAATTCTACAACGGAACTATTTTTATCCGACTTGACATATAATAAATTAATTTAAAATTTAACAGGAGGAGGAAGCACATATGATTGCTTGCTTACTTATAGGTAAACACTCTACAAAGTTTTTTCACTGTATTTACCAATGAAGAAGGAAATATCTTTACCTTTACATTGAGGAGGGTCACTACTCCATTTGCCAGGCCCAAAACAAGTAAGCGTGCTCTCTCCAATAAGTGAATACTCCTGAGACCCATTTGAAGGGTCACAAGTATAAGTCACTACTTCATTAAATTCAAATACAACCCTCCGGCTATCCGTGTATTTTCCATTACTTATTTTTCCGGGTGCTTCACACAAAATCTCTTAAAAAGAGGGGGAAAAGAGGAAATGAGAAGAAAAAGGAAAGATGTAGAGAGTAAGACAACATTTAGTAAAATAAATTCACTAACATCTGATTTCTACAGTCTAGTTGTGAATCCACTATCCCTTTAGAATGTCTCTATGAGAAAGTGTTATTACCCCAAAGTCAGTGGTCCCTCATATAGAAATGAACTTTCAAAAGAAAACCAATTTTATTGAAATATCTATATGAAATATCTATATTTATCTATAAGGCTATGATAAGTTTTGCTCTGGTCATCATAAGAGTTGCTGAAAATTAAAAGATATGGTTAAAGATAAAATTTACTGCTAGAATATAAATATATCTATTTGCCAGGTCATTGTTTCAAAATTATTTGAGAAATGCTTTATAATTTATAAGAATACAAATATATCTATTTGCCAGGTCATTGTTTCAAAATTATGCTGATATTGTCTTTTTTTTACTTTCAACCTTATGAGTACAGTGAAATTTTCCAGAAGCTACTGAATGTGTTATTTTACCACAGAGTGAATTTAAGTGTCTTCCTTTAAGCCAGATTTTGAAGGCATTTATAAAAGTGTAAAACAATCCCACTATTCTAACTGTTTTGGGCATCTTTTATTTTTTATAAAAAAAATACATTGTATATTTTAATAAATGTTGAATCACTATGTTGTATGCATGAAACTAATATACTATTGTATGTCAACTATACTTTTAAAAAATCAGCATAAGTGGGTCCCAAGGCCAAAAATATTGAGAATTGCTGGTCTAAATTCTAAAGTGAAAATTTACTTACTTTCACATGTTGGTATATCATGGTTCCAAAGCACCTTGTCTCCAGAAAGTTTACAAGTTAGAATTGGTTCACCTTTCAAGTAAAAACTAAATGGGAAAAAAAGTTACTGTTCTCTTTACCAGTTAACAAGATGTACATAATAAAGAGGAAAATTTCATATAGTTGTTTTCTGCAATACAGACAAAAAAGAATCAAAAAGAAATAGCAGCCTTAAAAGACACACTAAATCAGATGGATTTAATTGGTATTTACAGGATATTTCATTCCCAAAGCTGCAAAATATATATTCTTCTTAAGTGCACATGGATCTTTTTCAAAGCTAGACCACATGTTAGGACACAAAATAAGTCTTAACAAATTTAAGAAGATTGGAAAAATACCAAACATCATCTTAGATCACAGTGGCATGAAACTAGAAATCAACTACAGTAAAAACACTCAAAAACAGACAAACTCATGGAGACTAAATATCATGTTACTAAACAACGAATGGGTTACAAATAAGATCAAGAAAGAAATAAAAAAACTTCCTGGAAAGAAATGAAAATGAACACACAATCCAAAACCTATGAGACACAGCGAAAGCAGTCCTGAGAGGGAAGTTCATAGCATTATAGGCCTACCCCAAGAAACAAGAAAAAGCTAAAATAATCTAACACTCCAACTAAAAGAATTAGAAATAGGACAACAAGGAAAGCCCAGAGTCAGTAGGAGGAAGGAAATAATAAAGATCAGGGTGGAAATAAATGACATAGAAACTAATATATATATATATGATCAAAGAAACCAAGAGCTGGCTCTTTGAAAAGATAAACAAGAATGATGAACCTTTAGCCAGACTTATCAAGAAAAAATGAGAGAGGACCCAAATAAATAAAATCAGAAAAAAAAGAGGCTAAGTAACAACTGACATCACAGAAATACAGGATTGTAAGAAAATACTTTGAATAACTATTTGTTAACAAGCTGGACAACCTGAGTGAAATGGACAAGTTCCTAGAAACATATAATCTTTCAAAACTCAGTCAGGAAGAAGCAGAAAACCTGAATAGACAATAACAACTATGAAATTGAAACAGTAATAAAATAAAAAAAACTCACAGCAACAAAAAGTCCTGGGATGGATGGCTTCATAGGCAAGTTTTACCAAACTTTTAAAGAAAAATTAACACTCAGCCTCCTCAAACTATTCCAAAAAATTCAAGAGGCCTGGCTGGCTTGGATCAGTGGTTGAGCGTTGACCTACAACCAGGAGGTCACAGTTCAATTCCCGACCAGAGCATATGCCCAGGTTGTGGGCTCGATCCTCAGCAGGGGGTGTACAGGAGGTAGCCGGATGGTTGTTTGGCTGTTCGGTCTAATTAGCATATTAGCTCTTTATTATATAGGAGAGTATTGGAAGTCCTAGCCACAGTGATCACACAAGAAGTTATAAAAGACATCCAAATTGGAGGAAGTAAAACAGTCATTACTCACAGATGACATGATATTGTACATAGAAAACCCTAAAGACTACACACGCACACACACACACACACACACACACACACACTCACCTACAATTAGATTTAAAAAGTTAATTTGGCAAAGTAGCAGGATACAAAATTAACATCCAGAAATCAATGGCCTTTTTATACACCTATAATGAAGTGTCAGGAAAAGAAACTAAATATAAATCCCACTTACCAAATTAAATATATATATATATATATACACACACACACACACACACACACACACACA